TCTTTCCACAGTGTTGCCATTCCTGGTTCAAAAAAAAAAATGAAGAGAAAAAAAGAAAGGAGATGAACCATAGCCATTTTTATTTAATAGTGAAGCAGCAAGTTGGTTGAGTGGTGCCAGAGATAATAGTACTCATACACCATTTTTCATTTATTATTGTCTTCAATAACTTTACAAATGTAGCTACTATTACAGTGGAGGTGATGTCTTTTTGCTGAGATTTGAATCATATGGAGGAGGCTGCAGGTTTTAGAAGATAAACAGTGCACTCATAGTCAAGTATATAACTTAGGAAAAAGAAATATAGAGAATAAAGAAACAGAAAAGATGAGAAGTAGGCCAGAGGAGGGGAACTGCTCAAGATTGGATTTGAGATGAGGCAGGCATCTGCTTTATATGGTGTGTAGATTTCAGCACCATGGACAGAGTGGGTACTGGGCAGCTGCTGAGAGAGTTCTCTTGTTTGCAATAGAGAAACTTGAACTAAAAAGGGGATGATATGTCTTTTAATGCCTGAAGGGAATCAACAACAGGGAAGAGGAAGACATTGGCACTTGAACACAGCCCCAGGAAAGAAGGAGTAGAGGCAGATCTTTGACCTACATCTAAATACCAGCAATCTTTCCCAACCTTGACTTCCTTTTCCTTCCCCCCACCCCCCCCCCGGGGGATTTCATGTGAATTCTTTTTACTTGGCTCAGCTTCATTGAGTCCTTGTACTGAATAAATATTAAACTCTTGTCCAAAATAAACTATACTCCCAGGAAATAAAGGAACCCAAATGGCAAGAAAAAGACAGTAAAACATCCATGATCAAGATAGGCTGTGTGGTCTTCTCAGCCTTGTTGATAGTTCTACAGTAAAAACCCTTCACATGGTCATCCCACCATCAGTGAGAGGCTGATGGTACAGCACTGGCTTACCAAGTGTAAGGCCCTGAGTTCAAATCTCACTATCACACACAAAAAAATCCTCTATGGCATCTTCCACAAATTCACTAAGTATTCTAAAAAGACAGAATGTCATTGTTCCTAATAGATTATCTCCAAAAGGGTTATGCCTCAGAAGCATACTCTAAGACTTTAAGGGCACTCCAAGGCTTTGCCTTGTCTTGTCAGAAAAAAGCCAGAAGTGGAGTTGTGGTTCAAATGATAGTGCCAGCCTTGAATAAAAAAGCCAAAGGACAATACTAAAGCCCTGGGTTCAAACCCCAGTACTGGCACTAAAAAAAAAAAAAAAAAAAAAAGGAACTGGGCACCAATGGTTCCTGACTGTAATCCTACTTACTCAGGAGGCTGAGATCTGAGGATTGCGGTTCAAACCCAGCCCAGGAAAGTCTGGGAGACTCTAATCTCCAATTAAATCACCAGAAAACCAGAAATGGCACTGTGGCTCAAGTGGTAGAGCACTCACCTTGAGCTCTGCGTAAGGACATTGCCCAGGCCCAGAGTTCAAGCCCTACAACCGACAAAAAAAAAGGATAAGAAGACAACATTGAGGCTGAAAAAAGCAAAGGAAGAAGGAAGAAGATGATGACAATGAGTAAAGGTGGAATGAAAGTAGTTATGATGCAGATTTTTTAAAATAATTCGTTATAGCAGACACTGGTGGCAAACACCTGTGATCCTAACTACTCAAGAGGCTAAGATCTGAGGATTGTGGTTTGAAACCAGCCCAGACAGCAAAGTCTGTGAGACTCCTATCTCTAACTAACCACCAGAAACCCAGAAGTAGCACTGTGGCTCAAAGTGGTAGAGTGCTAGCCTTAAGCAAAAGAGTTCAGATACAGCACCCAGGCCCTAAGCTCAAATCCCACAACCAATCCCAAAAAAATGGCTTTTAGGAAGAAGGTATTTGATTGCATTGTTTTACAGTCTTCCATTTTGTTACTTTTCCTCTCCCAGCAACAGAGATGGGTAGGGTAACCTTCATTCCTATATAGTAGAGTATCCATCCTAGGCTCGCTTCCTCCTCTACCCATCTACATTGTCTTATTTCCCTTTTTTTCCTTCTCTCCTTTTCACTATCTCTGAACTCCAGCCCCCTTCACACATTTTCCTTACTCTCTTCTTGATTTTACACAGATTGCTCTAATCTTAAGAGGTCAGGTTGTCTCCCAGTGCTGAAAATAAGCACACAATCTCCCTAGTTCCCTCTTGTGGTTATAAATGGTCACTGCAGACACCTGCCCTGCTCCAAAATGGCCATAAAAGGGCGAACAGTAGACTCTTCCACAGATCCCACTACAATTAACTATTGAACTGAGCTTCACCTTTGTATCTAGCACTTTTCTAAAGCTAAAAAGTCAAAGGCGGATGCTGTTTGGAATTATTTTGTGCATCTGTGTGTGTGTGTGTATCAGAGACTCAATATCTGGCTGGATGTGTGTGTGTGTGTGTGTGTGTGTGTGTGTGTGTGTGTGTGTATCAGAGACTCAATATCTGGCTGGATACCAGTGGCTCACACCTATAATCCTAACTACTTAGGTGGCTGAGGACTGAGATTCAGCCTAGGCAGACTAACCTCTTAACTCCAATCAACCAGACAAAAAAGCCAAAAGTAAAGTTGTTGCTCAAGTAGTAGAGTACCAGCTGTGAGCAAAAAAAAGCTTATCAAGAATCTAAGTTCCTAGGCTGGGAAGGTGGCTCAATGGTAGAGCGCTTGCCTTGCATGCATGAGGCCCTGGGTTCGATTCCTCAGCACCACATAAGCAAAAAGAAAAAAGCCGGAAGTGGTGCTGTGGCTCAAG